AGCTCACAAATGTTCAGACTCCTTAAGAGTCTGCCCAATAGGACACATGTTCTAATAAACCTTGTCTTTGGCTGAAAGGGTTGGGGCAAATTCTTTTGGGCAGGACCCATGCATTGTGATTTTGGGGTCCCAGCACCCCTTAACCCCTAAATCTCAACAGTGGGAGACATGCTTCATCATCAGGCTTCTGTAATCATGATTTCATTACTGTTTTGATAAGAGTTCTTAAATCAAAATTGTTTTTATTTACTATGTTGTGCTTAGTGTATAACACATGTATGTGGATAGACATCTAATATATAGAATGGTTGGCTTGTGTGTGGCAGGGATAGGTATGTGTTTTAGGATTTGGTTCACCATTTTTCCAAGGGAGATAGTGATTTCTATCTTTGTGGGGAAGAAAACGAGGGTGGTGGCTGGGCACTCATGCTTTCAAGAGTCTATCTCCAGAGGAGGTATTGAGAAATAATTGCCACCTGTAGGGAGATACAGGAGCTGACATGTGTCAGGTGTTGGGGGATTCTCTCGATTTCTTATAGGCATACCCATCAGCTGGGGGGGGGTGGAGAGGGTGGGGAAGGTGGGGAGGGGTTCAGTAGGGTGGGGGAATTCTATGACTCAATCAAATATTGCAGGCCTAACTGAAAGGTAAAACATTTGTTAGCATGCTAAGGAATTTGATCTCATGATGCAAATTCAGATCCCTGAGGGACAAATTTGGTTTTTGTAAACTTTCAGGCCCTTTTAGAATACACAATCCACATTCTTCGGCTACTTAAGATAGAAATGTAAAGCATTTCACTGGAGAGAAAGAGTGAATCAATCAAAGGAGAAAAGGGGAGTATTTGGAATGAAAGCAATAGGATTTATTATCAGAATAAGAAAACAAGGGGAAATTCAAGGAGTTTTACAATTGTAAAAGCAGTTTTTTTAGGCAAAACAGCATCTCTTATCCAAGGCAGAAAGTAGTGGTTACAGCTATGAATGATACTTTTTACCTATTTCTGCATAGGGTCTGGGGACTTTCTAATATTATGTCTCCCTGGGTATGTGGGGGATTTCCACATTGTTAATCCACTAAGATGTAGTAAAATGATTATGGCTCTTGTTTTTCCTCCATGCACGCAAGTCTAACTACCATTATCTCCTGGACTTATGACCTTCCCTCAGACCATCATTGAGATAATCCAAGGCCCTGAGCCCAGGAAGCTGGGGAATAGTAGTACATTTCAGACCACTGGTCCTACTTCCAGCTTGGACCCCATAACCATCATTGAGAGGAACAATCACTATGGAAAAAGAGAACCCTTTCTTCATCACTATCAACACCAACTGCTAGAAGTGGCAAAATCTTCAGATTGCTGGCTTCTGCTTCTAGCGCACCCTCCAAAGCCATCATCCTGGGAAGCAACCCTTTTTGGAGAGGTAACCTGGCAAATGCTTCGGTGGTTGCTACAGCCCTGTCTCCTCAGAAGCCACAGTAACTAAATATAGTAATAATAATAATTATAGCTAACATTTATATAGCACCAGAAGCTTTACAATTCCTAACTCATTTGATCCTCACAGCAACCCTTTGAAGGAGATGGTATTATTATCCCCATTTTACAGATGAGAAAAATGAGGCAAATGGAGGTTAAGTGACTTGCCCAGGGTCACACAGCTAGTAAGTATCAAACTACTACCCAACCTAAAGGCCAGGGAAAGAAAATTTTTGTTACTAAAGTCCTTGGGACTGTCAAATGTTTAATAGCAGAAACAGATGCTGAGGTTTTAGAGGTTTAGTGGTACTGGGACCCTAAAAAGCAACATGCAGGTGCTGCCCGAATGAGTTCAGCCCAAACCTTCTTTCAGCCAAAGACAAGGTTTATTATAGATCCACCATATTGGCCAGACTCTTTAAGGAATCTGAACATTAGTGAGCTATTGGCTAGATTTTAAGAACCTGAGCACTTGGCTCAACTCTTAAACAATCTGAGCACCTTAATGGAGACCAGATGGACCTTATTTACAGAAAGACTGTGGATGGGATCTAGGAGTGGCCAAGTAGTCTGGGGTGACTGGAGGAGGGGTCTAAGGAGGATCTGGATGGGAGTGGCCAGTAAGCTGGGGCGACTGCGAGGTAACAGAAAAGCCAGGGACCTGGACCAAGTGGCCAAGGGAGAATGGAGCTTAGATAGGATTAAGGGTGGGAAGCGCCAGGGTCCTGCCTGGGAGGTAAGACAATAGAGGGATAGGCTAGGTTAAGGGTAACAGAGAATTGGGAGACTGGGCATAAGCAATAATGAAAAGCCAGTTGATAGGATTATAGTTTCAGGAGAACACTAGAGATTTGGCCATGTGGGAAAGTCCAGGGCTTTTCTTTTTTAGGGTCCAGATCCCAAAGACATGTCATTTTCCTTTTAGGGGTTCAGATCTCATTCCCATCATCAGCACATGCTAGATGCTTAACAAATGCTTTTTCATTTATTAATTCATGTCTATCACAACTCAAACATTTGTAGACTAGGAGCCCAATGCTGTCTTTTGGAGATCAGAATAAAAGTCACTTTCCCTGGTTGCTCCAAAGGGGATAGTAACACCTTACTCTCACCAACTTTGCTCTCTCCTACAAAACCTCTGGTATAGGAAAACAATTCGGAAAAGTGAGCAAACCTGTTTACCTAAGCAAACAGTACAAAGAAGATGAGGAAATTATATACATTAGAGTAGATGAAAGAATATGTAAGAGTAAACAAGCTCTCCAGAAAGGAAATGCAATTTTAGCTTAACCAAGGAGAGCACACTCTCTGGGAAGTCTGTTCTTAGCAGTCACTGGAGGTGTAGGGGAACCAGGAATCAAAGGACATCTTGAAAGGGACCCAAGTTCCCCACATGTATGTATCTTGGAGAGGTTTTCTGTACCTCATTACAAAGTTTTCATCTTACCTCTCATCTGTCTTTTTCAAACTCTTCTTCTGAGGTTTCGGTACCTTATGCAATGTCCTGGACCAGAGGACTCTGAGCTTTAATCAGGAATCATCTCTCCACATACGAAACACTGAGCATCACAGGTCCATCCTGAAGAGGAAGCAACCCAGGCTTGGGGCAGGAGTGGGTTATCATAAAGATAATTCTGGTTCTCTTCACTTCTTTCTGCATCAATTCATACAAGTGTTTCCAGTTTTCCCTTAATCTGTCTCTTTCATAATTTCTTGTGGAAGGAAGGAAACATATTTATTAAGCCCCTGCTATGTGCTAGGCAGTGTGTTAAGTGCTTTACAAATATTATCTCATTTAATTCTCTGGGAGATAGTTGCTATAATTGTTCCTGTTTTACAGTTGAGGAATCTTAGGCAGACAGTGTTTAAGTGACTTGCCCAGGGTCACAGAGCTAGTAAGGATCTGAGGTTAACTTTGAATTCAGGTCTTCCCTACTCCAAGTCCAGTGCTGGATCTCCTATGTGACCTAGCTGACTATTATGGAGTTATCACATTCCATTCCATTCACATACCATGACTTGTTCAGTCATTCACCATTTAATGGTCACTCATATTGTTTGCAGTTGTTTTCTATAGCAAAAAGTGGGGCTATATATATTTTTTATACACATAGGTGCTCTCCCCCTATCTTTTTTAGTTCTAAAATTCACAGCACTATCAACTACATTCATGAGCCTATCTTTCCATTTTTGGGGGCCACATACTGCTTTTTTTCTGAAATTCAATTTTGTTGTATTTTAGTTCCAAATTCTCTCCTTCCCTTACCCCTCCCCAATCCATGGAGAAGGCAAGAAATACAAAGTACATTACAAATATAAAGTCATGCAAAAACATTTTTGAATTAGTCGAGTTCTGAAAACATAGTACTTCTAGCAACTATTGTTTTCTATTTTTGTCAGCTTTGACATCTGATAGGTTAAAAGTGGGAACCTCAGAGTTGTTTTAATTTTCATCTCTTATTAGTGATGTGGAGTAACTTTTCACATTGTTGGTAGCTTAGACTTCTTTACTTGAAAACTGTCTGTTTATATTCCTTGGCCATTTACTTCTTGGGAAATAGTTCCTGTTCTTATATGTATAGGTGTATGCATTCCCTACATATCATGGATACCAAGCCTTTATCAGAGAAATTTTCTGCAAAGATCTTTTCTCAGGTAACTATTTCCATTTTAAGATTAATGGTTTTGTTTGTGCAAAAACTTAAAAATTTAGGTAATAAAAATTGTTCATTTGATCATATCAATCTGTTGTTTGGTGAAGAACTCTTCTCTATCCATAACTGTGAAAGGTATCTCCATCTCGGCACCTCTTACTTTTAAAGTTATTATTATATCTAGACTATACATACATTTTGAGCTTATATGTGCTAGGCATCATAAAATTTTTCCCAGATTGATTTCTAATTTTCCTAAGCAGGTTTTGTTGAATAATGAGTCCTTACCCCAGTAGTTTGTGTCTTTGGATTTCTATTTCAATTGCTTCTGGATATTGTGTAAATAATCTATTCCGTGGATAGTTTTCTTTTTCTTTTCTTTTTTTTTAAACCAGTACCAAATTATTTTAATGACTACTGCTTTTTAGTGTAGTTAGTTATCTGGTCCTGCTAGCCTCCCCACCACATCTCCTTCCCATATTTTTCATTATTTTCCTTGACCTTCTTGACCTTTTGTTCCTTCAAAAATTGTTATAATTTTGCTACCTGCATAAAATATTCCTTTGTATTCCATCTTCTGCCTCCATTTTGTTTTCTGGTCAACAGAATGTGAGGGACTGTTTCATTTTGTTTTTGTGTTCCTAGCTCTCGGCACAGTGTGGGAATACAGTAGGCACAATTGCACAGAACATAATTGACTTCGCTGGCAAGATGGACAGAGGCGGGTAGAGCTCAGAGCTCGGAGGACTTTGGCTCTACTCTATGATAGGGACGGACAGTAAGACTACAAGGAGGCCATTCTAGCAGCTTCCACAGATCTACTCTATGGTTCCTGGTTTCCTCCTGGAGAGGAAGCCCTGCGGAAGCCATGTTTGGAGGAGGAAGAGAGGAAGTGGCGTCCTCTTCCCTCGCCCAGGCAAGATGGAGTGGAGGCCGCAGGACTTATAACTGAACCCCCGGCGCCCAGGAGGGGCAGGGGCCTGTCAGGTTGGGACAAGTGCCCATGGAGCTGCCATAGGGTGAGTGACATCTTAGGGCCCTCTTGGCTTCCCCAGCGTGTAAGCGAGGGGAAGCAAAGACGGTGGCTGCGGGAGGACGAGGGCGCGGCAGAGGGGGAGGGGAGAGGTTGAGGGCGCGGCAGAGGGGGAGGGGAGAGGTTACCGCGCTGGAGCCGGGGTGGGGGGAGGCGGTGCAGGCGCATTAAGGCCGGAGGGAGAGAGGGAGCGCGGGCGGAGCCGACGCAGGCGCATGGAGGGACAGGGAATGTGGGGGAGTCTGGGAGGGGAGGGTTAGGGACAGCCGCGTGAGGCTGGGCGGAGAAATAGTCGGGACGGGTTGGTAGAAGGTGCGGTAGGTCTTCGGTGATGGTGGGCTACGTGGGAAGAAAGGAAAAAAGCATTTGAATGCCTGCTTTGTGCGAGGCACTGTGCTAAGCGCTTAACGATTATTATCTTGTTTGATTCTCTAAACAATCCAGGGAGGTAGGTGCTATTAATAATAGTGGTATTATAACTCCATTTTACAGTTAAGGAAACTGAGGCAGACAGGTTAATCCCAGAGTCATCTGTTGGTGAGTTTGGTTGGATTTGAACGCAGGTCTTACTGACTCCAGGCCCGGCACTCGGTGCCCTGTCTACTCCACCAATGTACATTGAAGATATATGCCTTCTAATTGGGAAGGTATCCCAGAGAAAAGGCACCAAGGACAGGAGAAGGGAAGCCTCTTGGAGAAGATGGGGTTTGAATTGACTCTTGAAGAAAGTCGCAAGACGAAGTTGAGGGAGAGAGGCCAGGCTTGGGTCCAAGCCACCATAAAGGCACAAAGGTGGGCAGTGAAATTGTAGGGAAAATTGGAGGCAGCTGTGGTGTAGAGAGCTTTGGATTTGGAGTCAGTCCTGGGTTCAAATTTGACCTCTGTCACTCATTGGTTATCTTACTAAGGGTGTTGGGACTTCTCTAAGCTACTTTATGCAAATCTGCTAGACATTGGGAAACAGCCACCAATGAACTTTGAGTCTCAGATGAGAAATATGTATATGTATGTATATATGAAACATAATATGTAGATAGGGAAAGGCACTAGCAGTCAAAGGATCAGAAACAGCCTCTTTCTGGAAAAAAGAGGCACTTGAACTGGTTCTTGAAGGAAACCAAAATTTCCAAGAGTTAGAAGTTGAGGAGGGAAAGTATTTCAGGCATGTGGCATAGTTGGTGCAAAGGAATAGAGATGGGAAATATCTGGCCAAATCCCAATTTAGGATTACTCCCACTCTCTACTTCCCTCCTTATCTACTGTTGCTGAAGTTAGCTGGAGGAAGGCGCATAAGCTGATTGGGAACACAGCTGACTGGTTTTCTTATCTCATCTGAACCCCCCTAGCAGCCAGGCTATCCTTGTACTCTTCAGCCTAATTAATTCCCTTCTCGCAGAAGTTGTTAGAAACCTTTCTGGCTTCAAACCTCTTGCCTTTCAGCTCTCACTACCTGTTCAATGGGGGACCACTTTTCTGAGAAAATTCAGGCCAGTCAATGTGAACTTCCTTTACTTCACTTCAAAACATGCTGGCATCATCCCCAAGTGTCTCCTCTTTTCCTCTAGTCTCTGATAATGAAATGACTTGTTTCCTTGCTAGGCCATTCCCACTTCCTGTACCCCTGATTCCCTTCCCTTCTGTCCTCTCCGTTACATTGCTTTCCCAACCATCCTTTCTCTCTAAGCTTCACTTTTTCACTATATGCTGCTTGCTTTCCTTCTGCCTCCAAATAGCTCCATCTCCTCTTTCCTTAAAACAGAATTTCACTAGACTCTATTATCACTTCAAGCTAGTGAGCTCACTCACACTTTTTATGTGTGTGTACATACACACACATACATACAGAGAAGGATCTATATTTCTGTATCCCCTTCCTTTTTCAGCCAAACTCCTAGGAAAAACTGTCTACTCTCATTCCTTCCACTTCCTCCCACTCTTCAACCCTTTTCAGTCTTGTTTCCATCCTCATTACCTAACAGAAATGGCTTTCCAAATTTCCAGTGCTGTCTCAGTTGCCAAATATGATACGTTATTCCCATTCCTTGTTCTTCTCCACCTCTCTGCTGCATTTGACACTGTTGATCGTGTTCTGGGTATTCTTGCCCCTCTGGGTTTTCTTGACACCCCCCTCCTAACTGAACACCTGCCAGTTTCCTTTTGCTGGATCAACTACGTAGGACCTGTCATAGACCCTTTTCTCTTTCCTTTGGTAACCTCATCAGCTTCCATAGGTTAACTTAAATTATCACCTCTGTGCAGAAAAGTCCCACGTCCTATATAGCTAGCCCTGTTTTCTTTCCTGAGCTCCATTTTCACATCACTAACTGCCTGTTGGGCACCTCAAACTCAGCATGCCAAAAAGCATTCTTTTCTCACCTCCTCAAACCCTCTCTCAACAAACTTTCCTTCCAGTCTCCCAGGTTTATAACCTTGATGGTATCCTTTTTCACATTAGAAAAAAATTTCTTTTTTAAATTTAATTATTAAAATTTAACAAGAATTTCTTTCATTCCCATCTCCAGTTAAACCAAAAAGAAAGGGGAAAAAAAACTCCTCATAACTAATATGCATAGTTAAAGTGAATTCCTGTATTGTTTATGCCTAAAAATGTATGTCTCATTTTTCATCTCAACCCCATTATCCTCTTACTTTCAGGAGGTAGGTAGTATGATTCATTTTCAGTCCTCTGTAGATGTGCTTTGTCATTGCATTGTATTAGTCAAAGTTCTCAAGCCTTTCAGAATTGTTTTTCTTTATAATGCTGTTGTTTAATTCTATATATTTTTCTTCTGGAGATGTGCTGCTCACTTCACTCTGCATTAGATTGTACAGGGCTTCCCTGTTTTTTCTGAAGCTGTTCGTTTCATCATTTTCTTATGGTGTAATAGTATTCTGTTACAGTCATATACTGTAATGTTTTTAGCAAGCCTCTACAAGATGGGCACCCCATTTGTTTTCAGTTTTTTGTTACTATAGGAAGAACTGCTGTTAATATTTTTTCCTTATGAGTCCTTTTCCTTTTTCTTAGATATCTTTAGGGTACAATTCTAGTAAAGTGAAACACATAGTTCCAAATTGGTTTCCAAAATGGCCGGACCAGTTCATAGCTCCACTAGCCTTGCATTGGTGGACCTGTTTTCCTGAAGCCCCTTCAGTAATTGTCATCTTTCTTTTTTTGTCATCTTTGTCAATCTGACAAGTGTGAAGTGAAATTTCAGAAATTTGTTTTAATTTGTATTTGTCTAATAGTGATTTGGAACATTTTTCCTTATGGTTGGGTGTAGCTAGAAAACTGCCCATTGCTATCCTTAACCATTTGTAATTTGAGGAGTGGTGTTCTTATTTTTATAAATTTAGATCTGTTCCTTATATATTTCAGATGTAAGGCCTTTATCAGACAAACATAAATTTTTTTCCCCAGTTATCTTCTTCCCTTTCAATTTTAACTTCATTGGTTATGTTTGTGGAAAAACATTTTAATTTTCCATAATCAAATTGACCATTTTGTCTTTGTGATTTTTTTTTCCTATCCCTTGTTTGCTCATAAACTCTTCCCTATCTATAAATGTAAGAGGTCGATTTCTTCCTTGCTCCTCTAAAAGGTCTAGATAGAATGATGTCTTTAAGAGGCCACTAGGTGGCCCAGGAGAGTGCTGACCAGTGTTCAAATTCTGCTGCAGACACTTACTAGCTGCTTGACCTTGGGCAAGTCACTTCACCCCCATCTGCCTGTATCCTCTTCTGTAAAATAGGGATAACAATAAGACCTACCTCATGGGACGATTGTGAGGATTAAATGACATAATATTTATAAAACTCTTAGTACAGTGCCTGGCATATAGTAGGTGCTTAAGAAATGCTTATTCCCTCCATGCTTTGATGTCTAAGTCGTGTATCCATCTAGAGGTTATCTTGCTGAGGGCTTATGAGATGTTGTTCAGACTGCTTTCTTGTTTTCTCAGCATTTTTACTTGAATAGTCTTTTCTTTATTGAATGCTGTGGTACTATTTTTGCTCCTGTGTGTTGTGTATATTATCTGTTCCATTGGGGAAAAAAAATCTTTTTCTTCTATACTTTTGGGACCTTTCCCTCCTTTTGATACCTTGTAAATCATTCCCTTGATATTCTCACAATTTTATCGCCTTCAACATGGATCTTCTAATATCTACTAGATCCAGTCTGGCTGCTTTTTTTCCTCTTTGTAATCTTCTTTCCATTTTCCTCTTCAAAAGCCCCTGGGATGACTTTACTTTACTGGATAGCTTGCCAGGCTTTCTTTAGACTGGTGTTACCCTTCACTGCTTTTTTCTGTTTTATGAGATGATACTACTCATGATTGTACATCATTCTTTTAAGATTTTTCAAATGAGTTCATATTCTAACATAGTATTGCCTTTGGTGGCAGTCTCTCTCTGGAACATAAGTTAAATGTGTTTTGAATAAGGTGCTTTCTGAACTCTTGGTCTTGTAGCAATTAATTTATATTGGTTTTAACTTCCAGATAAAATTATTATAGTTGGTGTCAGTGTTGTTTTTATTGTACATTTCCCTTTTTGATTTTCAGTAGCTTGTTAAAAACAGTTTTAAATTTTCTCATACATCACATCCTTTTCTTTTTATTAGTATTTTGATTGGAGCTCTGACTAGTCACTGGTCTGGCTGCACAAATAGCTGATTGCTGTGTGCAGAAGTCTTTCTTCCTGTGAAAACATAGTCATTGTCATTCTTTGTGGTATTTGGTGCTCACCATGACTAGTGCAGGTCTTTTTTTTTTTTTTTTTTTTGAAGAAAGTTTTTGTGGTAGAGAGACCTGAAATTTCCATATCATTATCTACAAGCCTTTGGCTTTTCTTTTCTTTTTTTTTTTTTTTTTTTGCCTTTGGCTTTTCTTATTTCTTTGTTCTGAGCCACATTTTCCCATCTATTTCTCTCCATCTTGACCTTTTCCCACCTTTGCATTGAAGTCGCCAAGAATTTAGAACATG